AGGGTCTCTAGGGTCTATCTGCTTCAAAATGTTAGTCAACTTCTGCACCATCCGGCAAATATTAGAATACCTGTATTTTCACAATTTTTAGCAATAATTAGAGAAAAATAAAACAGCCCAGTAGAAGAAACACCAAAAAAAAGTTCACACGTTTATAAATAAGTGCAGAAAACTAAAAAGAGACCCAATTCAAGAAACAACAGAAAATGACCGTTTTCAAAGCATACTTCTTGTAATCGTCACGCTCAACGATGTGGTAACGTTGCATAACATGGGCTTCTCTGTGATTGTTCTCTCTTTTCCACTCCAAGAGATCTAATTTCTTAAGCAGCTTTTTCTCGTGATACTTTAGCTTCCTCATTCTTTAGGAAACTGTTGCTGTAACAATAAAGAAAAAAGCTGCAAAGAGAGATTGATTGATAAACCCTAACGAAAACTCTTGTGATTTTGTTTTTGCAGAGGAGGAGAGGGGAGGTTGTGTTTTGAGACCTATTAAAATCTTGACTTTAAAGGACGGTATTTTCGGACGCCTAAAACCCTAAAACATTTGGGCTTGGTCTTGGGCTTGAGGGTTATGTTTTAGATGGACATTCTCTTTAATTTTCATTAATATAACGGACGAAATTTTTAAAAAAAATTTGTAGCCTATGAATTGAATGAATTTTACATTCATTATTTTTGTTGCCAATATAAAACAGATAACATATTCATTGTGCACAATCCTATAGCTTAGGACTTATTGTTACTGTATGTTTCATTGTTTAAGTGAACAATGGTTTTTTTCCTTGTCCTCATCTTTTAAATTTTTTTACCCTCTTTTGACTTTGTAATTTTCTTTCCGTCATTCTTTCATTTATGCTTTTTTCTCATTTTTTTCTTCTTTGTGTTATTGTCCACAACCCTTTTTCATCTTTGCATCGTTTCTTCACCTCTATTAAACGCTCATGCCTTAGGGCCAATTGTCTTTCTTTCTTTTCTTTGCCACATTCATATCACTTCATTGTAATTTCCTTTTCGCCATTCTTTCATTTATGTTTTTCTCTCATTTTTTTTCTTCTTTGTGTTGTTGTCCACGACCCTTTTTCATCTTTGCATCGTTTCTTTACTTCTCTATCGAACGCTCGTACCTTAGGGCCAATTGTCTTTCTTTCTTTTCTTTGCCACATTCATATCACTTCATTTTCAAGCCAACCTCCATCTTCATCCTTGACTCTAACTTCTTGACCCCTCAAAATCCTCCCCTTTCTTTATTTCATTTCGATCTCACCAAGCCAACCTCTATCTTCATCCTTCACTCTAACTTCTTGACCCTTTAAAATCCTTCTCTTTAAAAAATCAAATTAAAAATACTATTTATAGTATATTATGTTATTTTCATTTTTTTCCTTCGTATCTTATCTTTTGTTAGATCATAAGATCATATTTAATTTATGAAGGGCTCGATCTTTAAATTGTTCAAAAAAATTTAAATCCCATTGATAATTCTATGCTCTACCAAATTTTGATTATTGTCTTTCTTTTTGAAATTGATTTTTTTTTTTAATCTTTTGATCATATTTTTTATCTTCCTTCGTTACGTAATGGGTTTTTTAATTAGGTTTCTATTTGGTCGGCACATCTTTTGTTAGAGAGAGTTCTTGGCCCTACGCCCTATTTAATCATTGCTTGCTTAGGAATTGAGGACTCGTTGGCTCAATTGTTAGGATTCAACTTTGTTTCTATCGTTTGCCCAAGTTTTTTTGGTTGGTTTGCTACTCATTTTGTTGATTACCAACTAGATAAGTTTATTAACCATGTGTTTTATTTAGTTCTTATATTCTTTATTGTTATTTTCTTTCTTTTTTGGTCTTTCGCAGTTGTTATACCCACCAGTTGGGAGTGATACTTCTTTTCTTTCTATTTGTCTCTTGATTGTGATAACTTTTTTTAAACCCTCTTTCAATTCCTAAACATTTTATTTTCGTTCACTTATACGTTATTGTCTATTTTTTCTTTCATCTTTTAGGTTTCTTCATTGGAAAAATATATGACGGATTGTGGAAGGAGTTGCCATTTTAGACTTGTTTTGTGCGTTGTCCAATAGAGTATTGCTTGTTTTGTTTCGCTTCTTTTCCCTAATCTAGCTTGCTCAATTTTTTTCGATTTTTGTTTTTTTTTCCTTTTTTTCTTTAAATGTTTTTCTATTGGTTTTCATTATTCTCTCTTGGTAGGTTTCTCTTTTCTATTTCCATATATGCGTGTGATTTGATTGTCCCAAACATATTTATATTTAATCACTTTCTTTTGTTCAATTCCTTATTGCAAAATTGGATTGTTGACTTGAATAAGTTTATCTCGTGAGAGTTTGAAGTTGAATCATCCTAAGACACATATTGTTTTTTTTAAAAAAAAAAATCCACTATTTTTATAGCCTTTTTTACTCTAATATGTTCAAATTTAACTGAATAAAATTTATGGATTATGAGAAAAATGAGATTGTTGAAGACTTCTTAACGTAACTAAAAGAGTGAGAAAAACTTCACTTATAGCTTTGTTTTGATATGGATGATGAAGATGATCACAACAATGAAACACGATGACAATGATGATTCTAAAGTGTTTGAAATGGAGAAAATATTTTATATGTGCTATGGAGATTCGGTGGCCGACATGATCTTTACTCTAAGGTTTGTACAAAAATATACCATATAATATATATATTAATTTTGCATTGTCAACATAAAGCGAATATCCATCCTAAAAAACGATATATATTGAATAAATTTTTTAAAAAACAAATACTTTCCACATAAAAGGAGCTAGAAAACGAAAGGTGAAAGATGAGGAGACACGATTGTCGGTCGTGCAAGGTCGTCGAAGAAAAAAGGAAAGAGTGGTGAGGGTTTTTGAGTGAGGAAGGAGAAGAAAATGAAGGAAGAAGCGGGTTACAACCAAGTTAAGCCTTTCTTTTTTTAACTATGAACACAATTTTATTGTTATTCGTAAGTGTCCGTTAATGTTTGAATTTACCAAATCATGCCATTTTTTAGAGACGGAGATGATTTTGTCATTATTCATAAGTGTCCATCAATCGTTTCAATTTGGAATTGTGTTATTTTTTAGCGACACATGTGATTCGATCACTATTCATAAGTTTCAAATCTTGCCAAAATTATCTACAAACAATATTATCCATCACTAAATACCATTGCAAATTAGTTGATAATCCATTGTTGAATTAACCATAAAAAATTCATCACGTAATTCAATAATGATAATGTTTCATCATTGGAATTTATCGATATTCTATCACTTATTAACCCAAAATATCTAAAAATTGATAACAATCATTATTATTTTTTTGGTAATTCATCGTTGTATACCAACAACTTCATGTTTATCGCTATTTTATTATTTTTTATAGTATTTAAATAAACAAAACTAGGCTATTGTTATGCTTATTTGAAGGAAGAAGATAAAATTTATGAATTATGAGAAAAATGAGGTTGTTGAAGACTTTTTAATGTAACTAAAAGAGTGAGAAAAACTCGCATAAGGTTTTGTTTTGATATGGATGATAAAGATGATCAATAGTGATAGCAATGACAATGATAACTACGAAGTATTTAAAATAGAGAAAATACTTTATATGTGCTTATGGAGATTCCAAGAAAAATGGTGTCCGAGCATGATTTTTCCTTCAAAGTTTTTATAAAAATATACCATATAGTATATATGTTAATTTTGCATTGTTAACATAAAGTGAATATCCATCCATATATATATATATATATATATATATATATATTAAAAAACAAATACTTTCCAGAGAAGACACCATTGTCGGTCGTACAAGGTCGTCGAAGATAGAAGGAATGGGTGGTGATGGTTTTTGAGTGAGGAAGGAGAAGAAAATGAAGGAAGAAGGGGTTACAACTAGGTTAAGCCTTTTTTTAACGACGAACATAGTTTTATTGCTATTCATAAGTTTACGTTGATGTTTGAATTTACCAAATTATGCCATTTTTTAGAGATGGAGACGATTTTGTCATTATTCATAAGTGTCCATCACTATTCGAATTTGGAATTGTGTCATTTTTTAGTGACACACGTGATTCAATCGCTATTCATAAGTTCCAAATCCTGCGAAAATTAGTGACGGACAATATTATCCATCACTAAATACCATTGCAAATTAGTTGGTAATCCATTGTTGAATTAACCATTAAAAATTCTCCACGTAATTCAATAGCAATAGTGTTTCATCATTGAGCTTCTTTTGCAAATTCATTAGTATTCCGTCACTATTAATCTAAAATATCTAAAAATTGATAACTATCATTATTTATTGTCTAATTCATCGTTGTATACCAACAACTTGTCATGTTGCTATTTTGTTATTTTTTGTAATGTTCGGATAAACAAAAATTAGGTTAACGTTGTGCTTATTTGAGTGAGAGTGTTTAATCCGAGGTTTAAAATGAGAGTAGACCAAGAAGATAAAATTTATAAATTATCGGAAAAATGAGGTTGCTTGAAGACTTTTTAATGTAGCTAAAAGAGTGAGAAAAACTCTACATAAGGTTTTGTTTTAATATGGATGATGAAGATGATGATGATGATAAAGATGATGATAACAATGATATCGATAACAATGATGATTCTCAAATGTTTGAAATGGAGAAAATAATTTATATGTGCTATGGAGATTCCAAGAAAAATGATGGCTAGCATGCCCTTTACTCTAAGGTTTGTATAAAAATATACCATATAGTATATATGTTCATTTTGCATTGTCAACATAAAATGAATATCTATCCCAAAAAAACAATATATACATAATGAATAAATTTTTAAAAAATAAATACTTTCTAAAGAAAAGGAGAGGCTCTGCAAAACAAAAGGCAAAAGAGGAGGAGACACCATTTTCAGTCGTGCAAGGTTGTCGAAGAAAGAAGGAATGGGTGGTAAAGGATTTTAAGACATATAATAAAAGTTTCGAGATGACAGTCATGGCTCCCTCAGTTCATTGCATCGTAATCATCCAAATTCTCGTTATATTCAAGCACCTTTCTCTTTATCTTTGATGTATCTACCCAAGTAACAAAGTCTTCCATATTCCTTGTTACCAGGAACGCTGGGTCAGTAACTGTATCAGGACCTACACGAATATGCCCCTGCTCAATGTATGTTATGGCTTCTTTTAAGTGTTCAGCAAACTTCAATCTCATCAAAACAGTTGAAAGCCTACGTCTGCAAGCAGCAGGATACACTCATTAACAAAACACATATCCAAGTAGGTAAATGAATCAATAAGATGATAACATAATAAGTGCATGCAATAGAAGTTCACCATTCACAAAGAATTTCAAGTAACCAGTCAGTACAATGGAAGTTCAGGATTTCTTTTCACATCATAAATATTGAATTGCAAAACATTTTCTTGCTGGTACGTTTTCTGTAAACATCTTCTCAAGAGAAAGCCTACCTGCAAAAGGATGACACTGACAAGCGATCACACAATGCCAAGCTTTTCCTGCTCGGTATCACACCCATGTTGTAGCTGTCATTCACAAAGAGACAGCCAAAATATCAGCCTCTCGGAAACCACGCCAATGAGAGAAAAAGGGAGCAACAAAAATAACCACTTTGAACATTACTTGTACATTCAATTAAAAAGACAATATCCATCAATTTTGACTTTTCATTGCCCTATGTCCAAACCTCTAAACCAACAAGTAGAACATGAATCTGGACAACATCCATGATGCCGCCAGAGTTTTAAGAGGAAAGAAAACTTAAATCAAAGACTCAAAAGACCGATCTTTATTACAATAAAATCAATTTGCTACCAGTGAAACTATGCCATATATCTAAAGCAGTCAGTTACAACTAGCCACTTTGTTTACACCAAGTAAAACAAGCTTATTCAACAATTTTGACTCCTTAAGCTCAGACTTCTACCATATCTATTAGCTCAAATTAGCATTAACACATAACATTTTCCATTAATGAAAAGATTAAACAAAACGAAACGAACTTACAGCTTCTCCAAAAGCGTGGCAGTCATTTCAACACGATAAGGGTCTCTAGGGTCTATCTGCTTCAAAATGTTAGTCAACTTCTGCACCATCCGGCAAATATTAGAATACCTGTATTTTCACAATTTTTAGCAATAATTAGAGAAAAATAAAACAGCCCAGTAGAAGAAACACCAAAAAAAAGTTCACACGTTTATAAATAAGTGCAGAAAACTAAAAAGAGACCCAATTCAAGAAACAACAGAAAATGACCGTTTTCAAAGCATACTTCTTGTAATCGTCACGCTCAACGATGTGGTAACGTTGCATAACATGGGCTTCTCTGTGATTGTTCTCTCTTTTCCACTCCAAGAGATCTAATTTCTTAAGCAGCTTTTTCTCGTGATACTTTAGCTTCCTCATTCTTTAGGAAACTGTTGCTGTAACAATAAAGAAAAAAGCTGCAAAGAGAGATTGATTGATAAACCCTAACGAAAACTCTTGTGATTTTGTTTTTGCAGAGGAGGAGAGGGGAGGTTGTGTTTTGAGACCTATTAAAATCTTGACTTTAAAGGACGGTATTTTCGGACGCCTAAAACCCTAAAACATTTGGGCTTGGTCTTGGGCTTGAGGGTTATGTTTTAGATGGACATTCTCTTTAATTTTCATTAATATAACGGACGAAATTTTTAAAAAAAATTTGTAGCCTATGAATTGAATGAATTTTACATTCATTATTTTTGTTGCCAATATAAAACAGATAACATATTCATTGTGCACAATCCTATAGCTTAGGACTTATTGTTACTTGTATGTTTCATTGTTTAAGTGAACAATGGTTTTTTTCCTTGTCCTCATCTTTTAAATTTTTTTACCCTCTTTTGACTTTGTAATTTTCTTTCTGTCATTCTTTCATTTATGCTTTTTTCTCATTTTTTTCTTCTTTGTGTTATTGTCCACAACCCTTTTTCATCTTTGCATCGTTTCTTCACCTCTATTAAACGCTCATGCCTTAGGGCCAATTGTCTTTCTTTCTTTTCTTTGCCACATTCATATCACTTCATTGTAATTTCCTTTCTGCCATTCTTTCATTTATGTTTTTCTCTCATTTTTTTCTTCTTTGTGTTGTTGTCCACGACCCTTTTTCATCTTTGCATCGTTTCTTTACTTCTCTATCGAACGCTCGTGCCTTAGGGCCAATTGTCTTTCTTTCTTTTCTTTGCCACATTCATATCACTTCATTTTCAAGCCAACCTCCATCTTCATCCTTGACTCTAACTTCTTGACCCCTCAAAATCCTCCCCTTTCTTTATTTCATTTCGATCTCACCAAGCCAACCTCTATCTTCATCCTTCACTCTAACTTCTCGACCCTTTAAAATCCTTCTCTTTAAAAAATCAAATTAAAAATACTATTTATAGTATATTATGTTATTTTCATTTTTTTCCTTCGTATCTTATCTTTTGTTAGATCATAAGATCATATTTAATTTATGAAGGGCTCGATCTTTAAATTGTTCAAAAAAATTTAAATCCCATTGATAATTCTATGCTCTACCAAATTTTGATTATTGTCTTTCTTTTTGAAATTGATTTTTTTTTTTAATCTTTTGATCATATTTTTTATCTTCCTTCGTTACGTAATGGGTTTTTTAATTAGGTTTCTATTTGGTCAGCACATCTTTTGTTAGAGAGAGTTCTTGGCCTACGCCCTATTTAATCATTGCTTGCTTAGGAATTGAGGACTCGTTGGCTCGATTGTTAGGATTCAACTTTGTTTCTATCGTTTGCCCAAGTTTTTTTGGTTGGTTTGCTACTCATTTTGTTGATTACCAACTAGATAAGTTTATTAACCATGTGTTTTATTTAGTTCTTATATTCTTTATTGTTATTTTCTTTCTTTTTTGGTCTTTCGCAGTTGTTATACCCACCAGTTGGGAGTGATACTTCTTTTCTTTCTATTTGTCTCTTGATTGTGATAACTTTTTTTAAACCCTCTTTCAATTCCTAAACATTTTATTTTCGTTCACTTATCCGTTATTGTCTATTTTTTCTTTCATCTTTTAGGTTTCTTCATTGGAAAAATATATGACGGATTGTGGAAGGAGTTGCCATTTTAGACTTGTTTTGTGCGTTGTCCAATAGAGTATTCTTGTTTTGTTTCGCTTCTTTTCCCTAATCTAGCTTGCTCAATTTTTTTCGATTTTTGTTTTTTTTTCCTTTTTTTCTTTAAATGTTTTTCTATTGGTTTTCATTATTCTCTCTTGGTAGGTTTCTCTTTTCTATTTCCATATATGCGTGTGATTTGATTGTCCCAAACATATTTATATTTAATCACTTTCTTTTGTTCAATTCCTTATTGCAAAATTGGATTGTTGACTTGAATAAGTTTATCTCGTGAGAGTTTGAAGTTGAATCATCCTAAGACACATATTGTTTTTTTTAAAAAAAAAATCCACTATTTTTATAGCCTTTTTTACTCTAATATGTTCAAATTTAACTGAATAAAATTTATGGATTATGAGAAAAATGAGATTGTTGAAGACTTCTTAACGTAACTAAAAGAGTGAGAAAAACTTCACTTATAGCTTTGTTTTGATATGGATGATGAAGATGATCACAACAATGAAACACGATGACAATGATGATTCTAAAGTGTTTGAAATGGAGAAAATATTTTATATGTGCTATGGAGATTCGGTGGCCGACATGATCTTTACTCTAAGGTTTGTACAAAAATATACCATATAATATATATATTAATTTTGCATTGTCAACATAAAGCGAATATCCATCCTAAAAAACGATATATATTGAATAAATTTTTTAAAAAACAAATACTTTCCACATAAAAGGAGCTAGAAAACGAAAGGTGAAAGATGAGGAGACACGATTGTCGGTCGTGCAAGGTCGTCGAAGAAAAAAGGAAAGAGTGGTGAGGGTTTTTGAGTGAGGAAGGAGAAGAAAATGAAGGAAGAAGCGGGTTACAACCAAGTTAAGCCTTTCTTTTTTTTAACTATGAACACAATTTTATTGTTATTCGTAAGTGTCCGTTAATGTTTGAATTTACCAAATCATGCCATTTTTTAGAGACGGAGATGATTTTGTCATTATTCATAAGTGTCCATCAACTGTTTCAATTTGGAATTGTGTTATTTTTTAGCGACACATGTGATTCGATCACTATTCATAAGTTTCAAATCTTGCCAAAATTATCTACAAACAATATTATCCATCACTAAATACCATTGCAAATTAGTTGATAATCCATTGTTGAATTAACCATAAAAAATTCATCACGTAATTCAATAATGATAATGTTTCATCATTGGAATTTATCGATATTCTATCACTTTATTAACCCAAAATATCTAAAAATTGATAACAATCATTATTATTTTTTGGTAATTCATCGTTGTATACCAACAACTTCATGTTTATCGCTATTTTATTATTTTTTATAGTATTTAAATAAACAAAACTAGGCTATTGTTATGCTTATTTGAAGGAAGAAGATAAAATTTATGAATTATGAGAAAAATGAGGTTGTTGAAGACTTTTTAATGTAACTAAAAGAGTGAGAAAAACTCGCATAAGGTTTTGTTTTGATATGGATGATAAAGATGATCAATAGTGATAGCAATGACAATGATAACTACGAAGTATTTAAAATAGAGAAAATACTTTATATGTGCTTATGGAGATTCCAAGAAAAATGGTGTCCGAGCATGATTTTTCCTTCAAAGTTTTTATAAAAATATACCATATAGTATATATGTTAATTTTGCATTGTTAACATAAAGTGAATATCCATCCTATATATATATATATATATATATATATATATTAAAAAACAAATACTTTCCAGAGAAGACACCATTGTCGGTCGTACAAGGTCGTCGAAGATAGAAGGAATGGGTGGTGATGGTTTTTGAGTGAGGAAGGAGAAGAAAATGAAGGAAGAAGGGGTTACAACTAGGTTAAGCCTTTTTTTAACGACGAACATAGTTTTATTGCTATTCATAAGTTTACGTTGATGTTTGAATTTACCAAATTATGCCATTTTTTAGAGATGGAGACGATTTTGTCATTATTCATAAGTGTCCATCACTATTCGAATTTGGAATTGTGTCATTTTTTAGTGACACACGTGATTCAATCGCTATTCATAAGTTCCAAATCCTGCGAAAATTAGTGACGGACAATATTATCCATCACTAAATACCATTGCAAATTAGTTGGTAATCCATTGTTGAATTAACCATTAAAAATTCTCCACGTAATTCAATAGCAATAGTGTTTCATCATTGAGCTTCTTTTGCAAATTCATTAGTATTCCGTCACTATTAATCTAAAATATCTAAAAATTGATAACTATCATTATTTATTGTCTAATTCATCGTTGTATACCAACAACTTGTCCGTTGCTATTTTGTTATTTTTTGTAATGTTCGGATAAACAAAAATTAGGTTAACGTTGTGCTTATTTGAGTGAGAGTGTTTAATGCGAGGTTTAAAATGAGAGTAGACCAAGAAGATAAAATTTATAAATTATCGGAAAAATGAGGTTGCTGAAGACTTTTTAATGTAGCTAAAAGAGTGAGAAAAACTCTACATAAGGTTTTGTTTTAATATGGATGATGAAGATGATGATGATGATAAAGATGATGATAACAATGATATCGATAACAATGATGATTCTCAAATGTTTGAAATGGAGAAAATAATTTATATGTGCTTATGGAGATTCCAAGAAAAATGATGGCTAGCATGCCCTTTACTCTAAGGTTTGTATAAAAATATACCATATAGTATATATGTTCATTTTGCATTGTCAACATAAAATGAATATCTATCCCAAAAAAACAATATATACATAATGAATAAATTTTTAAAAAATAAATACTTTCTAAAGAAAAGGAGAGGCTCGCAAAACAAAAGGCAAAAGAGGAGGAGACACCATTTTCGGTCGTGCAAGGTCGTCGAAGAAAGAAGGAATGGGTGGTAAAGGATTTTAAGTGAGGGAGGAGAAGAAAATGAAGGAAAAAGGGGGTTACAACCGGGTTAAACCTTCTTTCGAGCAACGAACACGACTTTTTTACTATTCATAAGCGTATCGTTGATGTTTGAATTTACCAAATTATGCTATTTTTTAGAGACGAGAGATGATTTTGTCATTATTCATAAGTGTCCATCACTATTTGAATTTGGAATTATGTTATTGTTTAGTGACATGCATGATTCAATCGTTATTCTTAAGTTACAAATCATGCCAAATTAGCAATAGACAATATTATTGGTCACTTAATACCATTGCAAATTAGTTGGTAATCCATTACTAAATTAACCACCAAAAATTCACCATGTAATTCAACAATGATAGTGTTTCATCACTAAATTTCTTTTGCAAATTCTTCGGTATTT